GACATATGCAGTATGGTTTCATGAGTTGCTCCTTGGTCCTATTTCGAAGATAACTACTTCAGCTATGTATTTCACACGTGGCTATGTTTTTCATACTTATAGTCATGGCACTCAACGGGCAACTACAAACTATGGATTTTGTGTACGAGGTGAAATAGACTTTTATGGGATCATCAAAGAGATAATTGAAGTGGAATACCCCGGATTAGTAAGAATGAAACTGTTCTATTCAAATGTGATTGGTTTGATCCTACGGTAGGTCGTGGAGTGCGTATTAACAAATTCGGAGTGGTAGATGTAAACGCATCTCGGCGATACAATAAGTTCGAGCCTTTTATACTTGCATCTCAAGCAGAACAAGTCACCTTTGTTCCATATCCTCGAGTTCGGAGTACGGGAATTTCATGGCTGGCGGTTGTCAAAGTTGCTCCAAGGGGTATAATTGATGGTGTAGATCTCCCGCCAATGCAACAAGATGATTGTGTCGACATTACAGAACCTGATGTTGTAGAAAATGTTCTTTTAATTGATCCACGTAATCGACAAGTTGAAGATCTCCATGGGGACGAAACTGAAGAAGGTGCTGACGAATTTCAAACAAGCAGTGATGATGACGATGATGATGAGGACAACAAGGAAAATGTTGAAGACTAATTAAATATGTTGACATTTAATTGCATGCTTTGAACGTTTAAATGTAACATTTGTCAAATTTGATAAATTTGTTTAAATTTAAATGTTTTAAAAATGGAAGACAATTATTGAAAAGAGAATTTGTTTAAGTGTTGACTTGGACATATGTTGACAATTACGACGAATTTACGACGATTATTTAGAAATCGTCGTAAATTCGTCGTAACATGCAAACCCTAAACCCTATAGGGTTTAGCTTTCCCAACTTACAGAATGGTTTTTTGGTGTGTTTCTCTGAGTAAACTGATGTATTATATAAAGTTTTGTAGTACAAGATTAAAGAACTTGTAGATATGTGTTTTATGTACGACGACTTTACGACGAATGGGAGTGATTCGTCGTAATTTACCATCGAATTTACGACGAACTGTAACCTTTAAATCTTATAATCAATCTAGCCTGAGGTCCAGGGGGGATTTAGATGAAGAGATTGATATGGCTTACCATCAGATAAGGTAAAACACCTTTCTAATAAAAAAAAAAAAATTCAAATTTTGACATATATGTGTTTATCAAGTAATCTTAAGGTGTTATATACATTTAGGGAAGATGTAAGGATTTATCTTAAATCTTACTAAATTCTTCATTAAGTAATTTAAACATGCTAAAAGTTATACAGAACACATATATGATGTATAGACATGCTTGTAGGTGCTTATGGATGTTTCAATTTTTGAATTTCATCAGTTTTGGTCTAAGCTATCGTAAAATCGTCGTAATATTACGACGATTTTACGACATATGTGGATACACAGCCGTTATAATTTTTATGATATATACGGTTCGTCGTAAAATCGTCGTAATATTACGACGATTTTACGACGAATAACACTGATCATCGTAAAGTCGTCGCAAAGCCCAGATACAGCCACGTGTGTTTGTCTTATTCGCTTTGTTGTACGGTGGGAACTCTGCGACGAATTTACGACGAATATGAATTCTATATATATGAATAATTGGATAATAGTGTCGGTCGGAGCGTTTCCGACACAATTAAGAGTCATTTCGTTGAACCGCACTACAATTGGAGCAAAGTGTCGCAAGAGACGTTCGACACCTGGTACAAGTGCTTCGCGGTAATGTTTTTTAAATCTTCGTTATATCCTTTCAAATTATTTTAAATTTAATCTTACTTTTATATTTTTTATATAATTTTTTGTGTTATTTTGCAGCAACGGTGGAACTGGGACATCGGGATAAACGAGACAGTCCGCGAAGTTTTCCGGCTGAAGGCGCAGAAACGCCTAGTCAACACCGTTTCCGATTGGAAGCGGAAGTGGGAGACCGATGGCGACGACGCTAAGCCGAGCTCCATGTCCACTTTGTGTTGGAACGGGTTGAAGGCGTACTGGCTGGACCCGCATGCCCAAACCACTGCTGCTAAGTGTTCGGCCGTCCGAAACCGGGTCGGTCCTGACGGTCAGAAGTTAGTGACCCCGCACACTTATCATTTGCGGGAAGACGTCTCATGATGGTAAGTAATTAAATATAAATTATTTCATTATTATTTCATTTTTAATTATTTCTATAATTTATTAAATATTTTTGACTAATGTTTATTAATTGGTAGGCCGAGGAGAACGGAGGAGAACTTCCTCCAATGACGAAGCTCTTCGAGACCACTCACCGGAAGAGGGACGGGAGCTTTGTCGACGCTCGGTCAGAGGAGATCTACAATGCCGCTATTCAGCGGATCGCCGAGCGGGAAACCCAGGCCACACCTGACGGTACTATCCAAGTACCGTTGACCGTCGCTGAGCAAGACCAGATTTTCGAGGAGGTATGATCTATTTCAAATTTTTAAAAATTTATTATATTTATTACTTAATAATTAATTAACGTTTTTATTTTCATTTGTAGGTTGCTCCGAAGAAGAAAGGCTGTACCTTAGGGATGGGCTCTATTAGAGACTGTCCTGCCGCCTCGGCTTCCGGATTTCGCATGCAGGAGGATCCGAGTCATCTTCGCCAGGATCTTGCTACGGACAATGCTGAGATCACCACTCTCAGGCATGAGCAAGTGGCCCAGAAGCAGGAGCTCACCAAGATGCACGGCCTCTTCGACATCATTGCGGAAGCGGTTCCGCAGTTGGCCACCGCAATCCGAGAGAGGCAACGGCGAGCACGAGGGATCTTTGAGGCCGGTGGTACTTCCGGTGGACCATCGGACCAGCAGACGCAGGGTCAGCCTTCGGCTCCGATAGTGCAGACGGGAAACGACGGTCCAGCAGCGATGGACGGCCAAGACGGAGAGCCTCCTCGAGACGTCGATCTCAACCTCGACGATTATGAAATCACATTGTAGATTAGGTTTTTTTGTAAAAAACAATTTGTATTTAATTTTTTTCTTTTATTTATAAATTATTTTCGAATTTAAATTTTAATTTAAAATGTTTTTTTCCTATTTTCAATTTCAATTATTTGATTATTTTAAAAATTCATTAATTAAATTAAAATCGAATTAAATAATTAATTTTTAAATCGACGTAAATTCGTCGTAAATTTACGTCGATCTAGCGTCGAACATTTAACGACGAATTTACGTCGAATATGTTTACGTCGAACCTACGTCGAAAATTTACGACGAATTAACATCGATGATTAAAAAATTAATTGAAATAGGTCGTCTCCTAATCGTTGTTAAATCGATGTAATTTTACATCGATTTTATGTCGTTCTTATGATGGACGTATTTCGTTGTACTTTCGTTGGAAAATTTACGTCGAGTTTACGACGAATAGTTACTGACGATATTACGACGATTTCCCTGGGTTGGTAAATTTACGACGATGTTACAGCGAATTCTATTTTACGACGATTGTTTTACGACGATTTTTCATTCGTCGCTAATTCGATGTAAATGCCCTTTTACGTCGATTTTACGTCGATTTTACGTCGATATCTGCCGACGTAAAACCCGATCTTTCTTGTAGTGAAATGACTATCTGCAATGCGGGTAGAAGACGTTAACAAATGGGGTTATTTACAAATACAAAATATTTAAGCACACATTCTACAAGACATTCGAAAACGCAAAGTTTCATTCGCATCTTATATATAAAAGATGATCAACTCTCTCCATATGAATGTCAACATCTTCATTTTTATTTGATATAAAGATAACATGTGCCACTTTTATAATTTAAAGTTATAATTATATCATAAATAATAAAATATTAAATTTTAATATCAAGTTTTAAACCATTCAAAAAAGTTTATTAATTGATTGAAATTTATTTTATTTTTATATAATTCTCAAATTTTTTATAATATTGTATTTTAAATTGATTTCTAAGATTGTATTTTTGGATAAAGTTTCTAAATTTTTTATAATAACATATTTTTATTTCTATTTGATATTGCATTTTATATTGATTTATAATTTGTTTATATAAAATTTTCTAAAATTATTAATAATAACATACTAACACATAACAAATATAATTATATATTTGTTTATATATTTATAATATTATATTTTAAATTGATTTTTTTATATATAAAATTTCTAAAATTGTTTATAATAATATATTAATACACATAACAAATAATAATTATGTTTGTGACATCTTATTCCACCACAACACAACCAATTAGTTATTGGTTATTGATTTATTTCATAACTGTTAGTTATTTGACTGGTCAATTAGTTATTTCCTTTTTTATTGAATCTACAAGATTAATGTTTTCCTTTTGGAAAACTGGACCGTTAATTGGTTGTCTTGTACCGGAACTTAACGAAGAGAATCGTTTGTGATTGGTTCGGTTTAGGTAGAATCAAGACTTTTTCTAGCTATACTCCAAATCGTATTATTATTACTCCTATTGTTACGGTTATTTTTTTTTTCTGTTTTTGTTTTAATTCATTTTTTTTTTGAGTAACATTCACGATCATGTGATTTGTTTAGTTTATTGATTCCTTGTACCAAAAAGCTGAAATAGATGACAAAACTGCAAATCTTTAGTTAATAATAATTTAACATCGATTCAAACGTTTTAAGCCAGAGAACGTAAAACTCTAGCAATCCATCATCTTGAAACATGACCACACAAATTTTTTTTTTTTTAATGACCACACAAATTTGACAGAAAACGAATATGATTTGATCGATATAGCTCTTGGTTCATGAAGCTCATTCTCCAATTTAATTTGTGGTCAAGAGTCTTGAAGAAGCTTTTTTTTGTTATAATGAAAACCGGATTATGAAGTAACATACACCAAAGAAAGCATAACTGAATCATTGAAAACTAACGAGCGCCATGCAGATATCATCGCAAAATCACATAATCTTATAAAGGCTTGTGGTGTGTTAAGATTTTTCTGAAGCAGAAACATGTTCCAAAGTGTAATGCCCAAGTCTACCAGTTCTATATAGATTCAATATCTTAGAAGCAACTCTGAGATCAGCAAACTCACTTGCTTCTTCTGTAACCCTAAGAACCGTTCTCAAGGCAGCGAACTGCGTCTCTATAAGATTTCCCATGCTGATATCATCATCTAAGTCTCCGTCAAACGCTGAAATTGTCTCGTACAGAACCCTCCTTACATCGTAAACTATAAAATCCTGCAAAATGAGGACAAAGGTATTTTGATACAAGTAAATGAAACAGATACATGAGTAGTATTGTTCTTGTTCTGGTACCTGTGTATGATCTGTTGGGTACTGCCTCTTACGTTGAACATAAGACGTGGAGATTTCGTTGGATAAACTCTCTGTGAAATCCTGAGATTTGCAAAGTTTCTCCCATTTCTTGTATTCATGGCTAGAGTTTAGAATAGTCAAAAAGAACCGTGCGAGTTTTGTCTCCCCAACTATATCATCCGGGATAGCTCCTACATTGGTGAAAATGACACTCTGATAAGATCTCTGCACTATCTTGGAATGAGAATACAGGAAAAGTCTTATAGGCTAAATATAACTCACAGTGCTGATCAAACCTGTTAAAGCCAATTTTGAGCAGATCTCAGCATCAAGTAGACTAGGAGGGAAAATTCCAGGCGTGTCCAGTACATAGACGTTGGGATGACTACCGATCTGAAACACAAGAATTCTCTAACCATACTAAAACTAGCACCACTATAAGCTAAGTGTCATGAACGTAATAAAGACTAGAGAAACTGAATTGTTGAGAAATGTAATACGAGTCTCAAGTAAGGGAACAAACCTTCAAGCTCATAATGTCTTTAGTATCTCCAGGCTGTGGACTAACTGTTGTATGCTTTAGCTTACCTTTCTCTGCAAATGAACATGTCAAAATTTGATCATGAAAGAACTGAAAAGTCTGAGCAACGATCAAATAATACGAGAGAGAGAGAGAGAGTTTACCTGCAGCACTAATCCTCCCGATTTGATGAAGAGAATTGGCGAGAGCGGATTTTCCCACGTTAGGAATCCCGAGGAGCATCATCGTTGTGGTATGACCAGAATGGCCTGACTTGTGCAGTTCCCTAACTTGGCTCTGCAAGAAATTGAGAAACTGAAAAAAAAAAAGAAAAAAAAAAAGAGTCTTCTTTTAAGTTTCTTAGCTATAAAGAAAAACTGAAGATGATGAAATTAAAAGAGAATTTTCGATTTACTTGCTTGACACACTCTTTATTATGTGAGTTAACTGCATAGGACAGATAATTTCTCTGCTCAAAATAATCCATCCACTTGTTCAACTCCAAAGGATCCGCAAGCTCCATCTTGTTCAACACAAGGATCCGTTTTGACGGTAAAGGTGGAAACTTTCTCAACAACTCATACTCAGAAGACAACGGAATCTACACAAAAAAGGAGAAAAAAAAAAAATAAAAATCTTAGCTTCGTTCCTTGAGGCATTTAATCGAACACTTTGAAGACAATAAAAGAAAAGAAGAAAACGAACACGAGCGTCTCTGATCTCGAGTACGAAATCGACTAGCTGTATACGTTCTGATATTGCTCGAACCGAAGCGGCCATGTGAGGTCCGTACCATCTCCGGTTAGGGTTCCTCGACGCATTAACCACGGCGTCTCCGATTTCCCTCCAAATCTTCCAGGTCTTAGCCGTTGCCATTTTCAATCAAAATAGCATCTGCGCGGGGAAAGATAAAGCCCATAAATACTAAACAAAATTTGAGCCCATATGAGCCTATATGAAGCCCATACTACTTAGAACTAATAATGATGAGATTTTTTTTTTTTTATTTTATTTTTTTGTCAAACAAACTATGATGAAATTAATATACGAGAGATTTATCTCTAAATTAAGACTTTAGAGACCAAAATCTCGTGAACAAAAAACTATTTAGTATCCACCTTATTTTTTGGTTCGAACGCTATTTAGTATATACTAGATTTTACCCCGTACATCCGCACATAAATTTTTGTTTTAATCAAAATTTATAATCTAATTTATGTTTCTTTTATAAATATAATTTTTTAATAAGTGATATAAAAGAATTTTTTTTAGATATATATTTTTTATTTTCAGTATTATTATGACCACCATGATCATAAAAACATAATTTTAACCCGGTTATTTTATTAATCAAAAAGTGATCGTTATTAAAAAATATATTTTCAATTCGCTCATTTTATTAATCTAAAAAATATCATAACTATGAAACCATAATTCTAACTCACCCGTTTATATTACTTTATAATATAAATATTTATTAATTTTGAAATAATTTTGCTTTGATAACCTAATCTGCATAAGACCATAATTATAAAAAAAAATTAACTTGTCCTATCAAATTATTATATAATATTAATATTTATTTATTTTCAATATGTGAAATTTTAATCTGATAGAATATGATAAAAAAATATAATAAGATATTTGTTAATCATAAAAATATAATAAAATATTTGTTAGTCATATGTGTTATTCTGAAAGTCTTATTTAAATTTCAAATGTTAAAATAAATCTAACCTATATTTAAGGAAGTCTATTTAAATTAATATCTATAGACTATAGATATAACATATATTTAAGGAAAATTTTAGTTATCTAAATTAATATCTATTTTTTGGAATTAAATTTATATATATATAAAATATTTTTTTAAAAAGTTTTGGGAGTGTTTGAAAACAAACACTAAAAGTGCTTCTGTTTTTAATATAATAGATGTACCCCAAATCTGAACTTACGCATGGATTGTAACATTAGTTCATACTTGATTCGAAGTAAAACTCGAGATATATCATGAATGATTATTATCCATTAATTGGTAAATTGATCCATTTCATAAAAATGCGTTTGAACTATTTTTAGGATGAAGTCCTAAAAATCTAGAAACTCTCCTTTTTTATAAAATTAAATAAATAAAATATGTAAAAATTCGGAAAAATTAATATTTATCAATGTTTTTCACAAATAGATAAAACTATGCTAAGATAGCACAAATTAATTTACAAAATATTAGTTTGTGATATTCGATTCACTACTAAGATTGATAGTTATGAGTTTCAAGTTTGGGAAAAGGTTTTGTGGATATTTTTATGGTTTTTTCGACCTAATTTCCTTTTTTTCATCATTGAGTATTTAATTTTTCCATCATTCTCAACAACTGAATAATTTAGGTGTTCCATTTAAATTTCAGTTCGGTTTTGATTCTTTTTCTTTTGTTGTTGTTGAATTTTTAGTTTATAAATAAAGTATCCAAGATAAAACACAATATGATATGTGGTATCATACCGTTCGATTCTGATTCCAATTTTAATTATCATTAAGTTTTAACGAAGTTTAGGTGTCATATCAATTTTTTTGTCCATTTACAGATTGAGATAGATTTATAGAACCATAAAAATGATTAAATTAAAGTGTGAGGCCTGAGAGTCTGAGAGTGTATCTTTGTTTTGGGAAATGTCACAGTGACCACTCGATATCTCCATATCCCTAACGCATTTAAAATTTTTGGTTTTGTTAGGATGCCCTCCCTACGAACATGCACGACCCATGATGTATTGGCAATATTTATATAACCATCAATGAAAGATTAAATCATATATGTTTGTACGCCTAAATTATGATTTATGAAGTGTATATACAAATAGATTTCAACTCACCAAAGAACGTTTCAAGAGATTCATCAATCAAAAGATATTTATGTACGTAGTATTGGTGGGTTCTAATCATCAAGACGTTCATTTTTAATTTTGTTCATGAGTTTTGATATATTTAACAAAGAAATATAAATCTTTTTAAGTTTTAAGCTTTTTAATCAAAGTCTCATCAACCGCTAGGTCGTAAAGATCCAGTAAGATCTTGTTTAGCATAAATTATAGTCTCCAAAATATTTTTATTGTAACCTCTTAATATATTAAAAAAAAAAATTTGATATGGTAGTTTCTTATAATAAATTTTTTTCCCTAGCTAGTATCTTTGGGAAAGACGAAAGGTGTAAGTAGTTAGATAAGAAAGCTTGGATTAGTAAGTACATAATTAATCGAGCAAGAAACTTTTATCACGTGGAAAACAAATATATTAATGATACATAAATAAGAGAAATTTTATTGGAATGTGAATGAATGAGTGAGTATGATAAAGCCAAGTCATGGAGAAGGAACAATTTCTGATGAAAATCTGATTTGATTTCATTCACAAGATGGTTCAACTGCCACCTACCTGTTCTTATAGTGTCTTTAATGACTCTAAAGTCTAAACATTTTGCTTTAGCTCTTATGAGTTGTGATTTTTGTTGTTGTTGTAATTATCTTTTGTTCTTATAACTTTCACGTTGATATGTTACCTGAGTTTTTTTTGGAGCCACTCACGAATGAATATTTATTTATTGCTTACCAAGTGTAATAAAAATTTGTTTTCCTGTGTTTTTAGGAAACTGGGTTTGTGGACGGAAATTATATTTTAACTATCGATAATAGATAGCGTCACGAAACTAAAAAAATGTCAGATTAATCTAAACGGTTAGCGTGATCAACCAAAATGTTTAGTAAAATCGTTAACATGGAAAACCACATTTTCATTGATCCACCAGATTTTACTTAATAGGGATGACTTGACCAAAACAGAACTCAAAACAAAAACGAATACTATACTGTTATAGAAATGGAATATTTATTATAAAAAGTATTTTTCAGTTCAACAATTAAGTTATATATACAGAGCTATGCTTGTTATGAGGTCCAGAATAAACCTGTATATTTCTCAATAATGTTATATAAAACGATTAATATCAATCATAATCTATACAAACCATAAGCAAATAAACATGTATAAACTATGTTTCTCTCTCGAATAAAGTGGTGGTAATGGAGTGGTTCTCTTCTGTGATGAGAATCGTCATGTTGATGTTGATCTAGACCAGAGATCGATTCCCCATGAAATCAAATTTATACCATTTAATTTACTTGGCCACTGAAGCTTTCACATGTCTTTCCAGACTCGTTGGTGTTAAGAGGATTCGTCCCTGAATGCTTAAGTGAATACATTTGCTAGCTGATCATGTGTAGAAACATAATTAGTTTGACCAATTATAACAATCTCAAGTCTTGTTGTCACGCTAGATCCCATCAGCAATTGGTCATAGCTACCATAAAATCTAATAAAATGCTTTCCGCTGCTGATCTTTCCCCGTTTCATGCATTTTCCCTGGAATTGTCAAGAACTCGACTGCTCATTAGTTTGCGAGTTTCTAAGTCATATACTCATCTTTGAATAGATATTTGCTACCCAACTGGATGATTAAAGATACGTCTCCACATAAATGTTGAAGATGAAGTCAAAAATGATATCAACAAGAGTGATAAGGTAAAAAAATTGGTAAATCAGAAATTCATTAGAGATGCTGGATTATATGATATATCATCCCTCATGGTAATTATGAGAACCATGAAAGAGCTGTAAAATGCATTCACATAGACTATAGAGATTTTAACTTTGTGGAATTCTAGTTGGTGGAGTTTGAACACCTCCACACAAACATCATCCGGTGTTATGGTGTGGAGCATGACTTCTCTAATATCTACATTTGTCTTGAGCTTTGTATATAATCGCATAAACACTTATAGAACTTTGTTAAGAGAACTTCTTTTATTGATACTTAGAAAACTTATCTCAAAAACTAAACACAATAACTCTTATCTCTCTGTTGATCTTAATGCGACTTTATTAAGACCCTTATATAGGACATCTTCCCTTAACACTTTTCCTTATTCTAATCTACTTAGGATTTACTTGAAACTTTTCTTTTTCTTCTAACTGACTTGCTAGAAGACTTAGGCCTCAAGTAATACCAAAAGTTATCCAACATTCTCCCTCTTAAGCTTTGACTCTATCTTGGACATCTCTCCAACACCAATTAAGCTCCTCATCTCAGCAAACTTAATCCTTGCCAAAGCCTTAGTGAGAATATCAGCCTTCTTCTCAACTCCTGGTACATGCTCCACATCAACTAGTCCATTCTCAATGCACTATCTTATGAAGTGGTAGCGTTTGTGAATGTGTTTACTTCTGCCATGGAACACTGGGTTTCTTGTGAGAGCAATGGCAGATTGGTTATCAATCTTATTAGATTTCCATCCTGTAATCTCGATTAAGAGTTCTTGGAGCCAGATTGCTTGACGAGCTGCTTCTAATGCTGCCATAAACTCTGCCTCACAGGTTGAAAGTGCAACTGTGTCCTGCTTTTGAGAACATCATGTGATCGGTGAGGAACCGAAGTAGAACATATGCCCTGTAGTGCTTCTCCTATCATCTGGATCTATGTTGTGACTACTATCACTGTAGCCAACAAGTTTATTTGTCCCTTCACGCGTGAACTTCAGACCATATGTACTTGTTCCCTTGAGATACCGCAGTATATGCTTCGTTACTTCGCCATGTGACTTGCGAGGACTTTGCATATATATGCTTGCCACACCAACCAAAAAACTAAATCAGGTCTAGTGTGTAACAAGTACCTCAAGCATCCAACGTTTCTCCTATAGTTAGTCGGGTCTATTTCTTTTTCATCTTGTGCCTTAGAAAACTTTAGACCAAACTCCATAGGTACTTGAGTCGGATTGCAGTTTTCCAAACCAGCTTCCTTCAAGATTCTTCTTGTATAAGCT